TGATTCAACCAGACGAAGTTGAGCTAATCTTCATTCCAAGTACATAGTTAAAGCTTTACCTATTTTATACCTATTTTTGTCGCTAGAAAACGACATCCAAAAATAAAAGAACAACTACTCAAATAAACCAGAAGACATATGTATTTAACTATTCTTTTAGGCTAACTCTTAATTAGATATTTAATATTTCTACTAATTTGAGTAACTCTCATAAACTTAATCTTTAGTTCTAAAATACACAGAATGATCGTGTTAAATAATCGTAGAGGGAAATCCATAAATAGTTTCTTTTTCGTTTGGCCTTTTCATTATAGTTCCATAGAAACAAATACCTTACATAGTATAATTTAGTACAATTATTTTATTTTAAATGGAAATATTTAAAGGATTGTTAGAACATTAAGGCCAATCTGGAGAGTCGTTATTTTTTGGATGTCGCATAGGTTGTCGACAAAAAACCTGTTTAGATCTGTAATGTAGTGCATAAAATTCTAACATTTAAATTTAAAGTAAGCCTAATAACAAAGAAAGTTGTTTTTTGAATTTATTGTAACCTTAATTGCAAATACCGTATTTACCCGATTAATTCCCCTGGGGAATTATTTTTTCAACCATCCCTTGGCATAGGGAATTAATCGAGAGAGTAATTATTCGAGGGAGGGGAATTAATCAAGAAAATACGGTACATAGAAAATTGCAAAATATGAATTTTTTTATTTTCTAAATTTCGAAACTTGAATTATACTTTACGTTTATGCCTTAACCTTTACCTTTATTAAATTTGCCACTGAAAACAATGGGTTATAGGAAAAATAGAAGTCGACAAAACTATGTAATATTCACCAACTACTAAACTTTGATTTTATTCAACAAAATTTTTAGAGAATTTTTTCATAAAATTACTCATTTTAAATATTTTCGGTTTTAAACTATCGAAATGTATATTATTGTGTTCTTAAGCCCGAACCTGATAGGCAATCCGAAGTTGAGTTAATAGTCTTTCCAATCACATAGTCAAGTTAAGGTTAAGGTCAAAGTTAAGGAAGACTAATAAAATATTTTTCATAATTTATGTTCAAATCGAGTGCTAAAAATATTTTTGCCATTGATATTAATGGCATACAAAAATAAGAGACATAATTTCTCACTCACTCTTTTAAATATATTTGTAATTGGAATAAAATTTATAAAGCTTTAATGAATTACAAGTTTGCTTGGACTATTCTGTCAATTATCCTAGGCACAGATTAACATTATATTCCCTAAGAATAGCTATTAAGTTTGTCAGATACAGCTACCAGCTCACAAAGCCTCATCAAAGTTTTTAACACTTTCGAACCTTGACTTGAATTTTTTTAAATAAAATTTATGTTATCGTGTAAAGCTTGGTCTATATTCTATTGAAAATTAATTGCTATAGAATCTGAAACTTTGGTTAACTTTAAATTTTCGATTTGTGGGTTGTGATAAAATAGCACTAAATTGATATTAGTTTTTCTATAATTTTGTAGAGTATCACTTTTGCCACTGAACACAATGTCTTACAAAAATATATGAGTTGAGATTTACCGCCCTGGTAATTTAAAGACGAGTTTATCCTTATCACTCCTTATAATATTTGCAAATAAAATAAATTTTATGGAGTACTTGGGATTCTACCACTACGTTATATTAAACATAAGCATGTGTCACAGGAAATAGAGATAAATAACAATTAGGTATATTGCAATGTTTGGGAAAATCAGATTAACTATTGCAAGTCAAAAGAGCATCATTGCTTTAACACGCAAATAATATGCCTTACAAACCTTATTAAGAGGGGAATTACACAATGGCTTACAAAAATGAAAGAGTTTAAATTAACAAGTGTGTAGAATTCCTTAGTGGTTTCATGAAGGGTAGATGCAGAAACTAAAGTAAAAATCATTGTCAGCGAGGCGTTCCACAACATTAAAATTATAAGTATCTTACATATATTTTATTACATTTCTTTTGTTTTAAATTTAGATGTACTTACATATGTGTTTTGACTTGAACACACGGTTGATGCCTAATTTTTTGGAAGTCGCATGAATGTCGACAAAAAATTTAATAAATTCGCAATATTTGATTGCCCGATTTGTCTGAAATAGATCCGCGTCTGTCTTTCTTATCCTTGGAATTGTCTACCAAAAAATTTTAGGATAAATACCTGACAAAATTTATTTATTTTTCTATTTTCACTTTATAAATATTTAAGTTTGATATTTAATATATTTTATTACGTTAAAAATATGGTAAAAGCCAATTGAACATAAATTTTCTTATAGCCACCAAAAAAGTATTCTATTTTTGAATGTCAGCAAAGCTGATAAAAAAGTTTTTTGTAATTTGTTGTGACCTGAATTGCAAATGAATAAAAACTTGCAAAAGATAATTGAAGTCGACTAAATAAGCTTCACCAACTACTTAACTTTGATTTTATCCAACACAAATTTGCAAGAATTTTCTAAATAATTACACATTTCAAATACATACATACATATTTTCGTTTTAAACTGTCAACAATATTATATTATTGTGTTAATAAAATGATAAAAACTAGCATGAAATAAGTTTATAAATTTTGAATTCACTGAGCAAATTTGTATTTTTGTATGTCATAGAAGCTGACAGAAAATCATAATTTTTCTTCTATGACTCGGCTCTCGAGCCCGAATATATTGGCAGCTACTCCTACATCCGAAACCTAAGAGAGCCGCAATGGTTGCTGGCAATGAATAAAATCTAAGTTAGAGTAGGATATTTATCTAACTCATGCATCTGAAAGAAACCCATCGAAGAAACGGCCGAAAAATCCTCTGTTCTTCGTTTTAGTCATGTCAAAAACATTAGCTGTATAAAATACAACTGCACGTTATCTTTCTTCCAGGATTAAACTCGCTAAAAAATTTAACTATTTTGTCGCTAAAAAACGACATACAAAAATAACAATTAATTTTTTCAATAATCCTACTTAGTATTATTTTAGTCTATTCTTTAAAGCAAATCTAAAAAAATAAATGATATTTTTTAAAACTATCAGAAATCACCCATTTTAATTTTAAAAAGGTGTTAAAATCATGAAGCAAGCAGCAAATTCATTTGACATAAGAATCGACCTTATTGACATAATTATACATACTAGCTTACAAGGGAAACTTTCAAACTTTTTCAAAAAAATTTTAAATAAAACTTATGCCATCTTGTAGGTTCTACAGCTTACTTCCATCCTGATCGCTCCAAAAGCTTGTAGCTTCGATTTTTAATTTGGGTCTAATTCCCTTAAACAAAAAGAATCAATTTTGATTAAGCTACCAAAGATACTCTACACAATGGTATAATTTTAGTCCAAAATTATATGTTACAATGTTATCTTTGCCACTGAAAACAATGACTTACAAAAATAAGGTACGCCAAAAAAGGGAGAAAAATGAGAATGCCATTTCTATTCCTCTTTAAATTATATTCGCAAATAAAATAAATTTTATGGAGCACATAGGACTTCGTTTAGGAAGCTGAGGTTTTATTTTTCAACAAAAACACTGTTTATAAAAGTGATAATTCGTTCATTTTTGTCATTGCTTTTTGTTTCTGAACTTGTTTAAACTTTATTGTCGTTATAAAACGGCATCCAAAAATAAACTAACCGCAACACAAACGAGTCAGTATTACAGATACGTGATTATTCTTTAGGACAAGTCTAAATTAGATAAATGATATTATAGACAGTCTATTAATTAAATAAACACCAAATACCTCAAACTGTTAAAATCAGAGCAGTTCGGTTCGGTCATGCTCAGTTTTCCTATAACTCATTAAGGGATGGTCACTTCTTCATGGTTCTTGGTAATATTGGATAGAAAACTTTATCGTTTATAATTTCTTATCAGCCAATCAACCATTTTCGATTATTGGTATTTTGTAATGTGTTTAATTAGACCTATCTCATGATAGCGAAACATTAAAAATTCGTAAGTTACGGGCTCGGGACTGAAATGAGTGAACAACGAAACAGCCTTTGGAACAACGAAACAGCTCGTCAAATATTACTGAAAAATATTGCCGTTGAAGAACGACATCCAAAAATAATGAATCCGATATTCAACGTACACATAATACTTATATCTAACTATTCTTATAAGTCAAGTCTAAATTAGATAAATAATATTTTTGACAGTTATAACACCTTCATAAACCTACAATTTAATTTTAAGAGATTTTTAGAGATTTTATCCATGCAAGAAATTCAATTGAATTAAATCCTCACCAATCAAAATATGAAGCTCCTCCGTTTATAAAAAAAATGAATGAAATGAGTGATAGCCTTTGGAACACGAAACAGCACGTCAAAAATCACTGAAACTTCATTGCCGTTGAAGAACGACATACAAAAATAATTCCTTGGTAAAGAACAGAAGACTTAAACATAGTTATATTTATCTATTCTTTTAAGTCAAATCTAAATTAGATAAATAATATTTTTATCAGTTTATTACCTTCGTAAAGCTACCATTTAAATTTAAAAGATTTTTAAAGACTTGAGCCATGCATGTAATTCAATTTGCATCAAATCCTCAAAAATCGAATTTTAGAAACACCTCCGGTTACAAGTTAATTTTTAATTATTGCTGAAATACTTGCTTTAAATTTAAATTAAATTTCCAATTTATTAAAAATTCATAAAAATTTATAATTCTTCTCCTCTCATCATCTAACACGTGTCATTCGGATTTAAAATTTATCCATCTCTCTTCCCAAAAATTACCAATTTGGAAATTTCAAAACGTGGCAAATCCCAACTCTTTAGTCTATCATCTAAATAAAAAAATTTTTCATTTAAAATACGCAAGGCCAGAGAAAATTAAATTGAAAGATTGGTAAAAAATTTCTTTTTAAGCTTTATAAAATTGTCTGAAACACGTTGAGGTAAGCTGAGGTAAATTAATATAAAAGCAGAAATACTTCCTCAATCTCCATCATTTTTGCTTTTATAGCTTAATAATGAAACTTTCCTTCTCTAAAATTAATTTGCTGGCAGTTGCTGTCTTGATTAGCTTTTCTAGTGTGAATTGTGGCTGTCCTGATGGCTGGGGTACCATTGATAACGTTAGCGGATTTAAAATCTTCACTTCAACCGACCCAATAAACCTTTACATGGTAATTTTATCGATAATGATAGTAAGGGAGAGTATGGTTTTAACCCGAACGCTCAGGAGCGAAATATCTAGGAAGGGGTTTTCCAATTGTTTAGGGACGGGATTAGTGTCGAGGGAGCAAAATATTCTTCGAGTAAGGGATCTGATTGTGAATTTTTTATAAAGCAAAGCTTTAAAAATAATAGCATTGTTATATTTTTGTTCATTTTTTCAGAAAAGAATGGGGATTTTGGGCAAGTAAGGGTGTTTGCAAAGATAATAAGTGAGTTGCATGGGGTATTTAGTAGTGATGTTCGAGACTCTCGGTCTCGACTCTCGAGTCGAGAAATTTCTCGGGTTTTTTGAGCTCTCGGTCTCGGTCTCGGTGTTTTGGTCTCGGAAAACGAGACTAAATTTACACCCCTAATGACGGAAATTTTTTGAACTTTACTCGGACCTTGCGTACTTTGATATTAAAATTTTTAAGGAAAAGTCTCCAAAATTCCCAAAATTTTGCCTGCGGCGCTGAAAAATGGAAGAAATCTGGCTTCTTGAGCTCCAAAATTCTCAAAATTTTCGCCTGCGGCGCTGAAAATGGAGGAAATTTGGCTTCTTGAGCTCCAAAATTCAAAAAATTTTCGCCTGCGGCGCCAAAAATGCAGCAAAAATTTTAATTTAATAAGATTAAAGGATTAGATTTTGTGGTTTGTGGTATATTAGATACTGTGGATTCTGCAGGATAAAATTTAATATCAAGGGATGGGTGCATCGATGGATCAAAAAGATATTGTTGGATTTGTAGGGATATGGAAGGATATGAGGGGATTTTAAGAGATTAATGTGAATATCATTGAATATATATTGTGGACAAGGGGATTCAAGCGAGTATGGGGATTTTGAGGTATATCAAGGGATTTTTGGGGATTAGGATGGACATCAAGTGATATCCCTCTTAATCTCTCGGTCTCGACTCTCGGTCTCGACTCTCGACTCTCGTTTTGGTCTCGGTCTCGGGGTTGATTCTCGGTCTCGGTCTCGACTCTCGACTCTCGGGATTTTTTGACTCTCGAACATCACTAGTATTTAGGGATAAGGAATTTGAAGTGGTTGAGAGAGATATCAGGATATATCAAATTCCATTAATTTTACGATATCCTACGAATCCTTTATACCCTTTATACTCTTTATATCTATCTGCTGAGTTGGGGCTAGCTAGACGAGAGAGGAGCAGCCATAAACTTTGCTAACGGAGCGCGCCTTCCCTATTTTAATATATCGTAAATCTCCAACTAGTAAGCGTTAATATGCTAGCAGGTAAATATAATTTCCTCCTTACATAATGTGTAGCATGATAATTCGCTGCTCTTTAAAAAGCGAATAAACTTAAGATAAAATTGAAACTGTCCAATATGCGAGGAAGTGGGGGAAGATTAGATTTTATACCTAATAATGGATAACATAAGTTAGAGGCCCATCTATAATGTCATTTAATATCGGTCTTGTGATCTATGAGCATGACCCTATAATGCCTTGTGATTCTCGGTCATGGTCTCTAAGCACGCTAATAATAAAAAAATTAATTAAAGGCAGTTCCTGTTTGCAAAGCAAATGGAGGTATCGTTGCACCATTGTACACTTCAGATGAAAGTGGCTTGATCGCACAAATGGTTGGTAATGATACTCCAGTTTGGGTTGGAGCTGTTATGAAAAATAACGGTGACGGCAGCTTTTCATGTAAAATGCTTGATGGCGGAGATTGCCCTTCTGAGATTCAGAGTTCATTCCAAAATCAACCAAGCGATACAGGTTCTTATTTATAAAAATATACAGAAAAAATAGAGTGTTATTTGCGATAAAGGTTATGCAAAAATTGGTAAACGAGGGATTGAAAAAAGGGAGACGGTATAATGTGTAACTAGGGTTGCGCTTTTAAACCGACGGCCCGAAAAACAAAGATTTTCGGTTCAGTTTAACGGACAGTTTCGTTTAACCGAAGGATTTGGTGAAACCGACAATCATAGTTATGGAATACCCCAGATAGTGAATACCCCCAGATCGGGTGGAATACCCCCAGAGAATGACCCCAGACCTCGGTCTGGGGTCATTCTATAATGGTTATATATCGTTCCTTCACAGCCAATGAATAATCCTTGAGAAAGGATAAATCCTTGAGAAATGACAAGAGAAAGTATAAGCTGAATAATCCTTAAGAAAGGATACTTTGAGTAAGGACTTGTCATAAAAGCAATACAAAACGGTGACGATAAACAGTCAATATGCATAGCAAAGGTGGGTCGGAATTCCGATTTCCCACTTTTTTCTAAAATTTACCATAGTCGAAAATATACAATAGAATCTCTTTATAACGACCGATAATCTAAATCCTTTACAACGTTTCCTCAACTCTTACTCTTCTCGGCCCCATAGGCTGTTTTCTGCCCGATCTATTTCCAGATATCTAGTGTCATTTTTCGTCACAAGTGTGACTTATCGGTGATTTATGTATAATAAATCAATCAAATTTAGCAACACCCATATATGGTACACAAATAATAAATGGTAACTGGAATGTTGTGGATTGCGCGGAACGAGTGTTTGCTGTTGCATGTAAAACTACTTGTGATCAGTAAAATGTTGGAGGAAAAGAGAGAAAAAAGTCCAAGAAGACAATATAAAACATATTTTAAATCGGATATTTCTGCTATAACAAAAACTTTAACTATTCTATTAAAATTCCCTCTAAAAAATTGAATAAACTTTATTCTTGCAACATTTCTAAGTGTGTATGTAACGTAAGGTTCTAAGGATATAGTTCCAGGCATTTACTAGTTCCGATGTTCCAGTTCCAAACTAGTTCCAGATAATTGTTAGTTCCGTAGTTCCAGTTCTGGAACTGGAACTAGAACTTTGACATCACTGCCAAGGATGTAATAGAATTCAGGCAGTGTAACCCAAATTTGCCGCGAGATTTATGCCGTACTGAAATTTTAAAAAATTAAATTCGCTACTACTACTATTCAGCCCTCTGTGAAAATAATTAATATGCGTTATTATAATTTTCCCTAATGAAAGGTAAAATTTGTATAGTAGTCTTATCTTCATTAGCTATTGTTATTTTTTATTTTTGGATGTCATGATTAATCATTGACAAAGATGTGTTTGATATTTGCCAAAATCCGTTATACTTTAGATTCGTCAGTTAATTTAAATGATACTAACATTTATTTACATTGATCTGATTTTACCCTGCACCAAGACTCTCGAAATATTTAAATTTTCATCGATAAGGGTGAAGCATAAACTTAGAAATTTTAATAATGTTGACATGGGAACTCTCGGTCTGTTAGGGTGCGTTAGCAAGTATTATTCTGATCTACGAATAATCTTTAAATCAATTTCAGTCATTGTCGAAGTACCACACTTCGATTTGGCACAGGTAGATTCACAGTATTCCCAAAAATCTTTTATGAGTATTGAGAGGCAATACCGGACTAACAATACTGGACATAAGTTGTAACACGAAGAGCAGGCTACTGCCATACAGCAATGCCCGTAACTTAACGAGCCTTACTGCATGGCGATATAGCGTTATGGCGATATATGCGTAAACTAAAGCAACGATATCCCATGTTTGAAAGTATAACTAACGTTTTAGGAATAGCTTTAAAAATATATTAAAAATCACTAATAGTAATATGGGCCAAATTTGAACCTACTCAAAATCATTAAATTTGGTCACTAAAATCTCTAGATAAAATAGAATTTACTTAACATACGTTTTTGTATTTTTAAAACGGTTAATTTTGTGCATCAACATCTAGCTTCGCAATGTTGTAAAGATATTTTTAATTTTTTGGATGCTATGATAAAGCATAGCAAATATTACCGTTCAGAATAACACTTTTTGGACTAAACTCTATTAGAAGATTGTAGTTATTTTTAAGAGATTTTTACTAGGGTTGCCATTTTCGGTTTAAGCCGACGTACGGTTCATATTTTTTGAGATTGATTTTTTCGATTCGGTTCGTTTTCGAGCTTTTCGAGCTGAAAAGCCTCGGCTCACTCAATCTTTCGAGTTTTGGGTCGGGCGAGCTGGCAACCCTAATTTTTACATAAAACCCAAAAGCCAAAAGCTTTTTTGAGTGAATTTTGCGTTGATGTAGTTCTGTAATGTCTATGTTTGAAAGAATTCAGTGTGTAGGAGACGGAACCAAATCTTTACCATGAATAGGACGAGTTGAGTTCCTGTTGGGTTTCCAGTACTGTATCATATTCATTTTTGTTTTAATATGATCTTAATTTTATTTGAATAATGGAGGTTTTGTGGGGGGATTATTTTACGGTGAATTATATTTTTGGATGTCACCTATAGGCTGACAGATTTTACTACTCTAATAAAACTGCATGGGCATAACATAGTTCCCATATTTCGCAACTCCATATCAGAATTATACATATTTCAGAAAGTATTTTCAATTTTATACTCAGTCATTTGAGAAGGATGTAATAAAAAGCCCGTGATTTCTGCAGGCGTAACTTTTAATAAAGATAAAAATTAAGAGTTTACATCTTCTGCTGCAAATTGTGATTCATTGCCAGAATCGATGTTTGAAGAAATTATTAATGAGCGAGAATATTCATTTATGGTGTGTTAAGAAATTATATGAACACTCAAATTTTTCTTTTTTCTCTAAGTTCCTGAAGGTTTACACATTTGTAATTTTTACAATAGTTATTAAATGTAATTTGTACAATATATCCATAATATCTTAAGTTTATTTATCCGAGAAAATTTTTTATTCCAATTTTTCACAAAAATAGGTGTTAAGAAATTATATGAACACTTTAGTTTTTAGTAGTTCTAGCAATAGGAAAAATCTAAAAAAATTCCATCAGACATGTACATGAATACTATGAAAAAACTACTAAAAACTAAAGTGTTCATATAATTTCTTAACACCTATTTTTGTGAAAAATTGGAATAAAAAATTTTCTCGGATAAATAAACTTAAGATATTATGGATATATTGTACAAATTACATTTAATAACTATTGTAAAAATTACAAATGTGTAAACCTTTAGGAACTCAGAGAAAAAAGAAAAATTTGAGTGTTCATATAATTTCTTAACACACCATAAAGGTTGATACATAAAAGCTCCTTATTAAATTAAAAATTAAGGAGTATTTAAAAAAATCCATGGAATTTTTGATTTGTAATACATATATCACATGTATATCTTGTAATTTTTTGGATGTCAGTCTCACTGACAATGATTTTTTGCCTTTGTATCTTGTCTTCCAAAATTTTCGTCTGAAGCGCTTTAAGAACGAAGAACTCTAGCTCCGCTACCAAATTTAAAATTTTTATTTTTGATGTGTACATATTCAAGTGTCAAATAAGTTGTGGTGATACGATCTAGCGAAAGTGTCATGTGTGGATTGAATACGCAGATCGATGCATCGCTTACGAAACTACACCGTTTTAAAAATAAATTTTCAAGTGTAAAATCAAAATTAGAGAATTTTCAAAAAATTCACCATATATTCCATATTTAGAGGTGTATATTTTACCCCACCCCAACTCGGGTTTATGCCGGGTATCGAGGTTTGTCGAGTTAGAGCCTTCGGCGTTCGGGTCGGTTTTTTGACTTAAAAATCCGTTGGAGTTTCGTAGGTCGGGTTGCTAGTTTAAAGTATAAATCATTTTTGGAATAGCTAAAAAAATATCCTAGGTATCATTAATACAAGATTATGGACTAATTTGAAACTCATCAAAATCACAAAATTTGGTAATCTCTAGATAAAGTATATCTTACTTAATATCCGTTTTTGCATTTTTATGACGGTTAATTTTTTGAATCCACTTGTAACTTAGAGTGTTGTGATTTGCATTCGTTATTTTTTGGATGTCATGCTAAAGCATAGGCAAATAATTATGAAGGATATCAGAGGATTTAGACGGATTAATTATTTGAGATTAAGGAGAATATCCGGTTTGGAGGTATCAAAGAAATTTAAAGAGATATCTATGGAAAAGACTATGTTATATGAGTTGGGAGTTATCGGAGGATGAAGACTTTTGAGCCATTTCCAATTTCCAGCACCTTCTTAAATTAGTCTTTTGATTTAGTACGAGTACAAAATTTTTAAAAATTTATAAGGAGCATTATCAGTTAAAAAAAGTTCTAGAGCATATTTATAAAATGTTTTACTTGTCTAATTAATATGAATTATTGACTTTCGCGTCACTTTAAATAAAAATTATTATTGAATTGATTTACATTAGCAACAAACGCATGGCCCGCTTCTTTATTTTTGGATGCCATTTATAAACAAATGGCAATTAATTATACAGTAATTTTTGTAGATTATGTATGGTCAAAGCCTCGACAAGGTATATCGTAAATATATCGTAACTCGTAATCCTAATACTGAAAGATCCGGGCTTCGCTCATACACGATCGCTCCTACAAACTGAAGAAAATTTGAAGATCGATTGAGTTCGAAAACGATATACTACAATGTTTTGACTGCTAAAAATCCTATCACTTGTAATTAATAAGTATAGGAAAAGCGAAAGGAAGCTTGATAAAGAAAGATTATTTAATTATCTATATCTTTTTTGTTAAAGCTCTTTTGTTATGGGTAAGGTCACTAAAAATTTAACAAAATTACATGAGAAATCTCAGGCTTTTTTGTAATGGGCTTTTTGATGAAATTCAATGTGAGATCCTGTTAAATCCCTTCCCTGGTGAAAGTTCTCTCATTAGTAATTACCAAGGTGTATTTAAAAGTGGGATTACTCTGTGCTCATATAGCTACATAGATTACGACAAATACAGAATACTATTTGGACATTTAATTTATTTATTGTCGTCTTTTTATGCGACATCCAAAAAATTAACCCAGAAATCAAAGAGGTCCGTAAATACAAAAGACGCATTCCACATTTAAAACAAAATAAATCTAATAAAATATAAGTTTATAATTAGGGCTGGCAATTATACAGTGCCGGCAATAAATTTATGCAGTCTAGAAATTTTTTTAATTCTTAAATTTTCATTCAAAAAATACGTTCTATGTACATATATAGCCATCTAAAGGCTCTATTTGTATCTCAGTTGACATGTTTCTGCATTATTCGTGAAAATGAAAATTGGCCGAGATAATCTGGATCTACCCTATTTCGGAATTTTTCCCATATTTTCAGACATATTTTGAAAATTTTTATCCAAATTTTATGTCCATATTTTCGATTTTCCGTCCATATAATTGTCATCCCTATTTATAATTCAAAAAATCTGAAAATTGACAACAATTTTAAAATTGGACTGATTCTGAATTACCAAATATAAAAAATCCGCATCAAAAATAATGTAAGCTTTCAAGTTTGAGCAGCTCTAAATTATACAATTAAAAGTTAAAACAATAATTAAAAGCAAATTACGTGTTTCGAGCTTTCGGTCACGCGTTTCGTGCTAAATAAGTTTCTTTTCGTGTATCGGGTACAAAAACTGCCGGTACGGGCGGCAACCTGATCTCTATTTAGAAGGAATATATATGTAGATCAAGGCTCTTTCTCTGAGTGAATAAATCTTATTGAGTAAAGCACTCTATTGCTAAAAAAT